AGGGGGAAGAGAAAGGAGAGAGAGAAAGGAGAGAGAGAAAGTAGGGGTTTTGCATGCAAGAATGAGTGCACTAGATGTGTTTTGCCTTCTCCATTTGGAATCCAGAGAAAAAGGCAGTCTACCTCAAGGGTCTTTATTGCCCCCTGATACTGTTGTGCAGTATTGTTTGGCCACTGTGGTTGCAGAGTTGTTTGGATGTCAAGATGATCCAGCCTCCCTGTATGGGCAGCCGATTCGTGTGCAAGTCTTCAGCACATTTCCAACAGGAACACCTGGTGGCATGAGGTTGGTGGACGAGGTGGTGTTGTTCTGCACGGGTTCATCTCACGTGTCAGAACCTCCAGGATTGCCAGCTGATGCACACCTCAGCGAGAGGAAATCCCTCAGCTCCTCCTTACAGGCGCGACCGTTGGTAAGAAAGGTGTACTCTGACAGTCCGAACATCGTCAAAGACTGTTGGACGGAAATGTACAGAAAGATGATGGTGAACGTGGAGCAGAACCGTAGACCTTCAGTACCCGGGAGACGAGAGGAGGCTGTCCGAAGAAGCAGCGACAGCAGACAAGGAGGGAGAAAGGGTGGCAAAGGAGACGGTGGTGCCGGAGAAAGGGCGGACGGAGGAGGTGAGGTAGTATCAAGACATCAGGCGAATGTTGAACAGAGTGGAGGATATGCGATAGAGCCAAAAATTGCGGAGCCCGGTGGTGGCGATCCTGATTCCCTGCCGTCTGCAGGGGCGAGTCGTATAGCCGATGACAGATTGCGTTTTCCTAAGAAACAGCAGCGCCGAAATTCCTCCTCCGACATGCTCATACCCTCGACAAAGGGCATTCTCTCTCCTCCATTGTCTTCAAGATCTGCAGAAACGTCTGCGGCAGTCGGCAATCATGGTGCCGGGACCGTCCGCAAGCACACTTCTGGAACACGACGACACTCCGACTCTTTGGTACATAGTAATAACCGCACCATAGACAAAGACATGCACTCGTCCGGCGGCGACAACTGGCATGATGCTGCGGATTCGGAAATCGGCAAACAGAGCAAAGGGGGTTTGCAGCTAACCTATACGGACAACTACCAGAGCCTTATAGTAGCTGCACTGAGGTCTGCTACGGATGCAGCAAGGTGGAAAGCTCTACAGCTAGGGGAGGAGGAGGATGTGAATGCTACCCTGGAAGCAAGCAGTGGCTCACGGCGTAAGCTCCTTGACGTGCTACGGAACAACATGAAAGACAAACTTGCAGAGATAAAAAAGATTTTTTTGCTGGGACGAGCACAAGCAACAGGACAGCAGGAGAGGAGAAAGGTACGGACGGCCAGAGGTTGACAGGTCGCCGACAAAGGGTGAGTTACTCAAGTGTTAATGGACAGGTGATAACAGTTCCAAGTCCAACGCCGTGATGTTAGAGAGGAGTGACTGTCAGTTTAGGGATAAAAGGGGCTGTGAAAGCATCTGCAGCAGGAGCTATGACTTTTTTCTTTTTTTCTTTTTTTTTTAACCAGGCTCCAGTCTATTCGTGGGGAGCAGCACGTGCCCAGAACCGGGCTCAGCGTCCCATGTGAAAGATCATAGAAAAAACATGAGATGAGTTGAGAGAGAAAAGTGAACACAGGTGCTGGACACCTGGTCCAGGGCCCCATCACTGTCTGTCCTGCATTCCTAAAACTGAGGCCCAAGGCCAGGGCCCAGCCAGGGCCCCTGGGGGACACCAGTGGTCCCTGTCTGTTCCCCAGCCCGCCTTCCAGTGTAGTTAGCAGGAGCTATGACTATCACTACCTTTCGCAAATGTTTCTTGTCCACAAGAAATCCACTTTCACAACATCCAGAATGAAAGACGACCTTCTATTGCCCACAACAACAAGTGAAAGTCGTGGCCGCTCAAGCAAAAGCGAGTTCTTGACGGAGTTCACGTCACATGGAGTTAGGGTGTGGGTGTGGCCCTACTGCTGCTGTGTTCATCCTAAGTGCGAACCTTGCCATTTTCATGGCCAGGTTCATGCTTCCTGAGCGCAAGCGTACTAACAGTTCAGCATGCCCCTTCCTTTGGAGCTGTTGCCAAAAGTGCACTTCAACCACAAGTACTCAGCCCATACATCGGCCGCGGAAGAGAAATTCGAGTAGAAGCGTTTCTAGTCAGATGAATTTGGGTGCGTTCATCATTGCCGCGGCTGGTGACGCTCGGCGACTTTTCAGCGGTATTGGTGGTTTAAAAAAGTTTTCAGGCTGGGCCCCAGCGATGCAGTCTTATGGCCAGCTCCACTGGTGTTATATGTTCATGCTCAGGAAACACGAACCTGGCTAGAATCCTGGTAGTATAGCACTAACATACAAGCAGTGGAACCTGGCCCTCAAACCAGCAGAGTACATCCTAGGCACCTCTTTTTGCCGACGCTTGCGCGCCAATCTTTGTCAAAACGCCAGCACGCCATTTTTTTCTTTTTTTTTCTTTTTTTTTAATTTGGACCATTTCTCGATTTATGCGTGTCATCCTTGCGCAGGGGCCATTTGCTAACTTACCCTTCTCTGTATCGTTCCAATTTTAACGGATGTCCCGAAGGACTTTTTTCTTTTCTTTTGGCTGGCGCCGCCACCCATTTTGGTTCGGTAGCCCCCCGGGCCTCTGAAATTAAATTCTCGGGTTGGCTCGATTTCGATTCTCAAGTTTGCCCGGGCCTATGAACTGGTACTTGGAAACTCTCCCTTCATCCTCTGTTGTAGGCCTCTAAACGCACACATTGCATTTATAACCGGGTGCAGGTGCCCTTACATCCCTGCAAATCTGTGCGTTAATTGGGCCACCTTGCTCGAGCACTGGTGGTTGAAGAATGCCCTTCCACTCAGGACATCCCATAGGGTCTTTTTATATGTGTTCATGCTGATTTGGCAGAAACATATGGCAGCTTGGGCCCTTTTGGGGATCTGCATTTTTTTTCCCTTTTTTTTTTTTTTTTTTTTTTTTTTTTTAAGACTT